CTATAGTCTAGTCTATAGTCTAGTCTATAGTCTAGTCTATAGTCTAGTCTATAGTCTAGTTATAGTCTAGTCTATAGTCTAGTCTATAGTCTAGTCTATAGTCTAGTCTATAGTTAGTCTATAGTCTAGTCTATAGTCTAGTCTATAGTCTAGTCTATAGTTAGTCTATAGTCTAGTCTATAGTCTAGTCTATAGTCTAGTCTATAGTCTAGTCTATAGTCTAGTCTAGATGTTATAGTCTAGTCTAGTCTATAGTCTAGTCTATAGTCTAGTCTATAGTCTAGTCTATAGTCTAGTCTATAGTTCTAGTCTATAGTCTAGTCTATCGTCTAGTCTATAGTCTAGTCTATAGTCTAGTCTATAGTCTAGTCTATAGTCTAGTCTATAGTCTAGTCTATAGTCTAGTCTATAGTCTAGTCTATAGTCTAGTCTATAGTCTAGTCTATAGTCTAGTCTATAGTCTAGTCTATAGTCTAGTCTATAGTCTAGTCTATAGTCTAGTCTATAGTCTAGTCTATAGTCTAGTCTATAGTCTAGTCTATAGTCTAGTCTATAGTCTAGTCTATAGTCTAGTCTATAGTCTAGTCTATAGTCTAGTCTATAGTCTAGTCTATAGTCTAGTCTATCGTCTAGTCTATAGTCTAGTCTATAGTCTAGTCTATAGTCTAGTCTATAGTCTAGTCTATAGTCTAGTCTATAGTCTAGTCTATAGTCTAGTCTATAGTCTAGTCTATAGTCTAGTCTATAGTCTAGTCTATAGTCTAGTCTATAGTCTAGTCTATAGTCTAGTCTATAGTCTAGTCTATAGTCTAGTCTATAGTCTAGTCTATAGTCTAGTCTATAGTCTAGTCTATAGTCTAGTCTATAGTCTAGTCTATAGTCTAGTCTATAGTCTAGTCTATAGTCTAGTCTATAGTCTAGTCTATAGTCTAGTCTATAGTCTAGTCTATAGTCTAGTCTATAGTCTAGTCTATAGTCTAGTCTATAGTTAGTCTATAGTCTAGTCTATAGTCTAGTCTATAGTCTAGTCTATAGTCTAGTCTATAGTCTAGTCTATAGTCTAGTCTATAGTCTAGTCTATAGTCTAGTCTATAGTCTAGTCTATAGTCTAGTCTATAGTCTAGTCTATAGTCTAGTCTATAGTCTAGTCTATAGTCTAGTCTATAGTCTAGTCTATAGTCTAGTCTATAGTCTAGTCTATAGTCTAGTCTATAGTCTAGTCTATAGTCTAGTCTATAGTCTAGTCTATAGTCTAGTCTATAGTCTAGTCTATAGTCTAGTCTAGTCTAGTCTATAGTCTAGTCTAGTCTAGTCTATAGTCTAGTCTATAGTCTAGTCTATAGTCTAGTCTATAGTCTAGTCTATAGTCTAGTCTATAGTCTAGTCTATAGCCTAGTCTATAGTCTAGTCTATAGTCAAGTCTATATTCTAGTCTATAGCCTAGTCTATAGTCTAGTCAATAGTCTAGTCTATAGTCTAGTCTATAGTCTAGTCTATAGTCTAGTCTATAGTCTAGTCTATAGTCTAGTCTATAGTCTAGTCTAAAGTCTAGTCTATAGTCTAGTCTGTAGTCTAGTCTATAGTCTAGTCTAAAGTCTAGTCTATAGTCTAGTCTATAGTCTAGTCTATAGTCTACTCTATAGTCTAGGCTATAATCTAGTCTATAGTCTACTTCATAGTCTGCAGTCTAGGCTATAGTCTAGTCTATATTCTTGTCTATAGACTAGTCTCTAGTCTACTCTATAGTCTAGGCTATAATCTAGTCTATAGTCTACTTCATAGTCTGCAGTCTAGGCTATAGTCTACCCTTTTTTTTTGTCTATAGACTAGTCTCTAGTCTAGTTTTTAGTCTAGTCAATAGTTTAGTCTATAGTCTAGTCTAGTCTATGGTCTGGTCTATAGTCTAGTCTATAGTCTAGTCTATAGTCTAGTCTATAGCCTAGTCTATAGTCTAGTCTATAGTCTAGCTTTTAGTCTAGTCTATAATGTAGACTATAGACTAGACCATAAATTATACTATAGACTAGACTATGCTATAGTCTTATAGTCTAGTGTCTATCTATAGTCAACATTTTTACACAATTCAGATCATATTAATTATACTCAGTTTCTTAAATTATATTTCCTCATTTATTTTAGTTGTTAAGTTTAGTATTTAGTTGTTAGAAAAATTAGTTATCTGTCAGAAAATAAAGTTTTTTCTTATTTACCAGCCCCTTCACCCCCCACCCTCTCTCTCAGCACATTAATTAATTTCAAACTTCAAACATATAATCTGCTCTCCTGTCACAAAAGTAAATTTATCAATTAATTTTCCATCAAAGCAAATGACAGGATTTTTCTTCTTAAAAGAAAAAGACAAATTAAACATTTTAGTTTACTTTCATGAGAATTTGCGGCATTTTTTAGCTTTTAAGCCTTAAGGCAAAATTAAACATTGTCAAAAGCGGCATAATGAATGTCAGCCAAAAATATACTATATTCGAATTTTACAACAGTAATTTAGTAATTTAAATTCAAGCCAATTACAAGGTCATCAAATGCCAAGAAAATTTATAATTTTCTTTTTTCGATATAAATAAAAAGGAAATTTTACAGTAATAATATAGAGTATAGAAATATTTTTGAAATATTACTACAACCATTAGCTGCATATTTTTAGAACAATAACTGTTAAAATATATATTGCGAAAAAATATTTGTTGTGAACTGTATTCTACATTTTTCTTTAAATGTTTTAGCATTATATTTAAAAAAAATCATTATTTTGTACAACATTTGTTTTTAATCTTTTACACCCTTAATCTATGTTTTTACTGATAAAGCTTTTCGGATATTTTGGTCGATTACCTTATAACGGAAATTGTTAATAGAGAATTGCTCTATTAACTTTATCGAAATTTTGTAATCTTGAAAGTTTTATAACATGTGCCATTATAAAATAAATAAAAATTTTATTTAGTTAGAAATTAAAAAAAAATAATACCAATTTTGAGTGATTTTATTATTGATATTGTCATTATGTTTGTAGCAAATCGAAATATTGGTCATGGACCCACATGGAATTGAGAATGGCTAACATCGGCCCATGATTTCAAAATTCATCTCACAAAATTGTTTCTTATGAAGCAATCTTTATAAACTGTACCCTAATTTTTGAAGAAAATAGGACAATATTTGATCCCAGTCCCCGCATATAGAGAACCTTCAGAAAATTATTTTGATTTCTATAACTAGTTTAAAAATATGAATATAGCTAAGATATTAGATATTAACAAGTTCTATAAAAACTAGTTTCTTAAGGATCGGTCCATATTCGATCCCACTTTATCCTTACAGAAAAACACATTCAAATGATATAGAATTTGATCTATAATTGAGCCAAGACCCCATTAAAGGTCGACATATGTATATGGTAAATCTGGTAATGAACAGAGTAAACCCTATACAAGGAGTGAAATTTCAATGGTATCGCTTGCATAAGGTAACCGACATTATTTTTCCCTAGAATTTGGGTTCAAACCACAGCCACCACGTGTACAACAACGGCCAAAGAAAGGCCGAGGATACATTTGATCATCACCAGTTTTTACTCCCGGCCGACACTCATTAATGTCGCATGCCCCGGGGGGAGTATGTGGGGAACAGAAAGGACAAGGAAATTGACGCTTTGTGAGACATTATATCTTTCAGACTTATCCATGATGAGAGGCATGATACGATAATGATAGATTCTCATATGCAGAATGTATAGCTATTCCCTCTTAACTCTGATGCTAATATAATCCTATCTAGTCAATTGATTGGAGGTCTTCAACTAACTTGTTCGACAGGATGCCATTGAGAAGATGTCCAGAATCCCTCCACCATGTCTTGTAGTCGAACAAGAGAGGATAGGGCGAAAAAGGCCGTTGCATATAATCGACATCTATTAAGAACTTAGTTAGGATTGTATCATCAGACAATTTATTCAAACTATTCAGGTCTGATCTAGATGGACCATAGACAATAAAATATAGCACTAGGTAGGTCTAATTGGTTAGGATAGAACTCCTTGGGGAATATCAGACTATATTTTTATAACCCTAGATCCAGGTACAGTAGATTGAAAGGAAGGGTATCCAATACTATGAGGCCTAAACTGGACACTAATCGATGTAAATTACTATTGGGGCTATATAGAAAATAATTACTAAGTAATAGACAGAAAAAGTAATACACATTTAGAAGGAGTGCTAACCGGTCTCTGAGCTATAAGATCTCAGTTGTGCAGGGACGAAGATCCACATCAGAAAGAGTAGATCATATTATTTATATGCAATTGTCCTAGGTACAGATTCCATGAGAAACTGGGAGATATAGCTAGGTGTGGTCTGAGCAATCTTCTAGGGGAAAGTGTAACTATTTGTCTCTCCATATCTAATAATATTTATTTCTTTGGATGGGAGTTTAAATCTAATTTCGGACCTTTCTTTAGTTTTGAATATCAACAATTTTTATTGAGGAACTGTACTTCACTAGGTACTACAGCCTTTCGTCACACTATTACAAAAATCAAAACCTTTAGATCAAAGTATACATTTCTATTAAATTTAGCTATAATTAATGCGAAATTTTCATCAGAATTTCTCGAAGCAGGAAAAAGATATAATAGAGGTTAAAACTTTATTTTAAAGTCGGCAGATAGGACTTTCAGATGACTCTTCCCTATTATAATGTCTTAAATATCACCAAAATCGGAAACGATATCTGATGTAATAAAGGAATTCTGATGCGGATCCAGCACAGCAATCCTTATGAAAATTATACTTTGGTCGGTGGGTTTAAAATGGATTCTGTGTCGAACAGCTTATTCTGAGAAGCTTATAAGATCATACATATAACTTTAACCACTTCTATAACTTTTATCGAGAAAACTTTGCAGAACCTTGGAAGAACTTTAATAAAACCCATTATTCGATTAATTGATTGAATGATTGTTTCTATTCAGTTCCACTTACCATTTATGCCGCTTATCAATGGATAATTGCCATCACGTCCACCAATTAAGTTTTTTAAACCAGTTTCGATCAGTGTTGGGGACGATCGCTCCCTGTCACTCATTTTTTCATAAAATTTTTACAAAAACAAACAGCAACGAAATATATTTGCAATATAATTATTTAAAAATTTCTTAAAGAAATTTTTAATGAATTTTATTTATTTATTTATTTTTTTTTTTTCTTGTATAACTTTTGTTATTGCTTTAGTTAAGCAAATTATATTTTATATATATATTTATTTAAAGATAATAAAAACAAATCACAAAGTTTAAAATTATTATTATTATTATTATTATTATTATTTAGGACAAAATTTTTTTATGGCTTATTAATAAATATTGCACGTGTTTTAATTTTAGGGTTAATTTTTCTTTTTTTTTGTTTTAATATGTTGTAAAATTTGCTATAAATTAAAGGCACCTTTTTTTATTTAAATTTAATTATTTTTTTTGTTTTTTTTTTTTTGTGTATTTAACAAATTGCTTTTATTTTGTTTTATATATATATTTTATATGCTTTAATGTTTTTTTTGTTTAATTTTTTGTTAAATAGCTGATTTTTTTTTGTGTTATTTGTGGGTTTTTTTATGTTATTTTAGGCGTTTTTTTAATTAAGTGATTTTTTTATATTTTATTTAGAAGGTAATTTTAGTGATTTTTTTCTAACTTGTGGTTGTTGAATCTCAGCTACTAGAAAATGCACAGCGTATTTTTTTAATTTATTTTCTTTTTTTTATTGCAATTTTTTTTTATTTTAACAAATAACAATGATTATAAAAATAAATAATTTTAACAATTTTTTTTTTAGTTTTTTTATGTAGTTGAGTGTATTTTTTTGTATTTATTTAAAGGTTGTTTTTTTGTAATATTTTCTTTATTTTGCATTAAATGCTTAACGGAAAATTTTTGGTTTTTTTTGTTTAATTTTAGTGATTTTTTTTGAGGTTAGAATTTTAAATTATTTTATTTGAAGCGTTTTTAAAGATTTTAACTATTTTTAAAGTTTTTATTGTGTTTTAATATTAGTTTTATTGATTTAAACATGTTTTATTATTAAACTTTGAGTTTTTTAAATTTAAGCGTTTTTTGCAAATTAGCGTTTTTTTTTTTAATTTTTCAGTTTTAGTAGCAAGAGTTTTAATTTTTTTTTTATGGTTATTTCTATATTTTTGTTTAAAAGCCAATTATTGTTATTAGTTTTTTGTTTTTAACAACAACCTTTTGAAATTAAGCTTAATTTAGCGCTTTTTTTTTGTATTTGTTTGCTACTGCAGTAATTTTTAAGTAATATTATTTATAAACAACAACACTTCACTTTTAAAAAAAAAGAAACAAATAATACAAAATCCTCTCTCTAAGTGAGTACAAAAAAAAATCGATGATTTTATAGTCTATAGACAAAATATTTCAAAAAAAAATCTTTTTTTTTGGTTTTTATTTGTGGGTAATTTTTGTTTATGAAGAGTATATTAGGAGCAGAGTTCTTTTTCTTTAAAACAAGGCAGTTAATTTGTAGATTGTTTTATTTTACATGTTTTAGTTAGTTGTTTTTAACAAATTTAAAAAATTTTCTTTTTAGCACGGCAACTGTTCAAAGGTGTTTTTTTTGTAATTTTTTTTTAAGGAAATGAGAATTTTAGCGTTTTTTTTAGTTCAAAAAAATGAGTTTAATCCAAAGAGTTGCCTTGCGTGTAACTAACTAAAAATTGGCGTGCAAAATTTTGAACGTGTTGTAAACATGTGTGGGTGTAGTAGAACTTAACCAGGATATTACCACTACCAGCTCAAAAACTCACAACAAAATCCACTTGCCTTCCACACAGTTTTTCACACACACACACACTTTCACTTAAAAGAAAATCTCTCTTTAAACTTGTGCTCTTAAGTTTTTTTATTAAAAAATTCTTTAAATTTTCAAAATTTCCAAAATTTTTAATTATTTTTCTTTAAATTTTGTAATTTTATTAAATTTTTTTTTATTACATTAATTGTTGTTTTATTATTAACACTTAATTATAACAGTTAATTGTTGTTGTTGTTGTTTTCTCTCTTTATTTTTTTTTGACACTTGGTTTTAGCTAAACAGCTGATTTTTTGTAGGTTATTTTAATTAAAACCTTAAAATTTATTATAACTTTTAATTGAAAACTTTAACTTAGTTTTATATTTATAAAAATATTTTAACAAAATTAAAAACGCTTTAAATTTAAACAAAAATTATAAATAATTTTTTTCCTTTTTGTGAACTTTGCTCTACACGTTGTTTTAGTAATGACAACTTAAAGGCGTGGGGTATTAAGGGGGCCAAAAACTTTCAGGCTCGTTTCGTTTGTTAAGAAAGGGGATTTTAAACAAATAATAAAAAATCGAAACTGCCAAATAAAAAAAACAAAGTTTTAAACTTTTTTCTTTACGTTTTTAAATATTATTTTTTTCAAATTTTCACACGCGTTTTAGGTGTTTTTTTTTTCAATTAAAACTATTACATTTAAATTTTCTCTAATTCTTTCGTTATTATTTTAATTTCAACTTTAGTATAAATTATTAATTTATTTATTACTATATATTTATTTTTCTTATTTTGTTTTAATATTTATTTTGTTCGCATGCTAAACCAAAAAAAAATAAATTCCTATAGCCGCACCGTAAGTCATCAAACCAAACTAACGAGTGAAACAAGTACTAATGTTTTGTACACTGTCATTTGGTCCCAGTCAGCCGCCGCTTTAGCTTTTTTTTCATTTCTTTTTCGATTTTTACTCGAAAGAACGCACAAAAACAAAAAAAAATACTATAGAAGAGCAAAAAAAAAAATAAATGACAACAAAAACAAATAACAACAAACACATGCTCACTGTAGAGCAGCAAATACACTCGTACACGCTCGCTGACATACACACACAGAGATATAAATACAAAACAACCTCAGAGATACTCAAAAAATAACAGCAATGACGACAACAACAAGAACATGAGCAACCCACTAATGGGGTTGTAATGTTGGCACCGTACTATACCTATATTCTAGGTACTTTATCGGAAAAATGGAATAAAGTACTTTTTCCAAGTAAAAATTAATTTCAAATCTTTATCAAGCACAATCTGAATGTCCAATTTTGAACGACTTTTTCGATTATGTTGGTTACGAAAGCGTGAATTATTTCAGGAAATAAACGAGAGCAACTTAACAGTTCCATTTCATGAAATTAAGATTATCTAATTTTGATTTCACATTTTTGGCTTTTAATTGAGACGAATCTAGCTACTGCTGGTATTCTTTACGAAGCACAATCTGGACGCCCAGTTCTGAATGACTTTATCGATTATGTTGGACTCGAAAGCATCAATTGTTGCAGGAAATTAATCGAAACAGTTCCGTTAAGGCAATTTTTGCTATTAAATGTTAAATGGATCTAGTTCTTCATTATAAAAATCTTAAAGAGTTCATCAACATAAACTAAAAGTTTCAAAATTTTGAGCAAGAAAAAAGTTAATTTATAAAACTTTGTTAATTGTGAATGGACCCAGCAGTTTTTAATTACAGGAACGAAACAAACGCTCGAAATCTTATAGTTTCCCAGTACAGGGAAACTATAAGATTAACTTCAAGCTCTTCAACTGTCAATCTCATTGGAGGATCTATATGATCATAACTTTCAATGGAAAACAAATGATACAGTTTAGGTTAGGTTCGGTTGATAGGAGGATGTATAGTACAGCAAAAAAAATTGTTCACTGAGTATATTATTTTTCAATGTTCAGAAACTCAGTTTCCTGAACGTAATCCCCAAGAATTTTCCAATAAGAGTTAGTCAGGATCTAATTTCGACGAATGCCTGGCAGTGGCAAAGAAAGTGCTCCAGAGTTTCGCTGTCCTCTCCACATGCTCTACATTCGTCTGAATCCGCACGGCCAATTTTGTATAGATGTGCTGGTAATCCTGTGTGTCAACTCAGAATACCTACCATCATAGTAACTTCAGACTTGCTCATTTTAAGAAGATTTCTCGTCTTGTTCTCATCAGGGTCACCATATAGGATATTTTTGGTACTACCTACCGTTTCATTATTCCAAGAGGCCTTATGAGATTCTCTCAACCATATTTTTAATTCAGCTTTTGTTGCGCCGAATGGTTAACAACCTCGAGCTCCCTTCCCTTTATGGCTATTAAATTCGCCCTTTCGTTTAATATATAAGGGCTGTGGGCGCAATATTTATTCTAATCCAATTTGAGCATTCCGTTATTGCTTGGACTTCTGCCTGGACGCTTGTCTTATGATTAGATAAACGGTGGTATATTTCTATTTCTGGGAACCCCAGGCCCACTTTGTCCAACAACGGTATTTGCTCTAGTATTCCGCTTGACCAAGACATTCTATCTGGGATCAGCGTTTTAAAGTTTCAGACATATTCTGTGTCTAGCATGCGATCAGGCACGTCCGATGATTGTGTATAACCTTCCAATGTGTCCAGTATACATTGATGACGTGTCCTATAACCGTTTTTGGCCAGTTCGTCTAAAGTAAAGAAACGTTCGGCTGTAAGCGCCTTTTTTATTTCCGATCGAGAATTACACCTAATTACTTAACTTTGTCCATCACCGGTAGCAAGGTTCACTGTAGTAGAAATGTTTGTCTTTCTTGTGAAAAGACAGATTTCCGTCTTCGCCGGGTTAACATTGAGGCCTCTCGGTTGAGCCCAGCTCAAGGCCGTATTCAGAGCCTCCTCAGCTCTTCTACACAAGTAATTTGGATCCTTTCCCTTTGAAAGTATTACGACATCGTACAGCAAAGTCCTTAATAAGAACCAATTCAAATCCAACGACTGACCGCTAATCTTAATCAATATCATTGTGACAACATTCTGATCCCAGCAATTTTTACACTAATTAAGAATAACTATTCAATTCGCCCATTGTTTAGATCCTGTTAGTTCCAAAATGGCGGTCTTGGAAGAAATTAAGGAAAATAAGATTTTTTTTAATTTTGTTGATGATTGAGCAAATGGTAAAAATATTATAGAGTTGCGAAATTAGCCCCTCAAAAGGATTCCGTTCTGGTGCTCTACTAAACTTTATTCTTTTTAAAATTGTAAGTTGAGTTCAAAATTTATTTATTGATTCCTGGAGAAATCCTGTTCTACGCCAAATATATAGAAAGGTTTTTATGAGACTATTTTAATGTTCTTCCTCCATCAGTGTTAGCTAACCATTACATTAGGTAATCCGAATTCTACCATGCATTGAGGAGTCTAACATCCTTCGCGGAAAGTTTTTCATAATTCATATTATTCATCCAATAAGTCCAATTCCATTCGCCTGTGAAAGAAAGGACACACATCCTCATCGACGAACTTAATCAAGAGAAATAATTTCTATCTATTTTTTGAGCAGAGATTGATAATTCCTCAGATACCTTTCTGAAAGATCAAAAGATGTGAACACCCTTTATTCATTTATTACAGATTTATACTAGGTTAGCAAGACATTTAGAGCTGGTAGAAGTAAAAGAGACAGGGTATATACAAATATACCTCTGAAGTTAGACCCAGCACACTCAATAAAAGACCGTGATTTTGGCTAAAATTTCAGCTGTCAGATATAAAAGGCAGCAGCCCCTAATATAGATATCAGACGGCACTAAGGTGAAGTGAAAGATTGATAGTTTTTTATTTAAATTCTTTTGATAAAAGTTTCAACAGTTCTAGATAATGCTCCGGCTCTTTCTCCTACCTTCTAATTTCCAATTTTCCAGGTCCCAATACAGTTATAGTTTTATAGTTTACACCACACTTGACAACCCTTTTAAATCTGTTATCTGTTTTATCGTTTCAAAATGAAACATTTTAGGTTAGTTTTGCTGTCCTAAAGATCTGTCTAATTGCATAGAAAAGGGAAAAGACCTAGAAGGTCCTTTATTTCATTTATTTCAAATTGAAACTACTAAGAATTGATAAATATACTTTCTATGGCAACATATCGAAATATTGGACGTTGACCCATTAAATTATATATGTACATCCCGGGTCCTTATTTGATTTTAAGATAGACCCTAAACGAGACGAGATAGAGGACGAATTTTTCCACAAATGCAGATAAAGTGATGAAATTTGACTTAAACAAGTTTTTTATGAATCAAAACATCTATGAAATTTCATAAGTTTCAGTCCATAGTTGACCCTATCTCTACTACAGAAATCGCTTTATTGTGAAGTTCCTATTATAAATTTATCATTCTGTCAAAACATGTAGAGTTCGGTTCATAATTGGTCCACAAATTAAACTCCATAAAAGGTCCTTTTCCGAAAATCAAAATGAAACATTTTAGGTTAGTTTAGTTAATTTGATCGATGTTAGTTTTACCAAAATCTCCTAAAGCTCTCCTAAACATCTGTCTGATTGCATAGAAAAGGGAAAAGACCTCGAAGGTCCTTTATAATCACTTATTTCAAATCTACTAAGAATTGATAAGTATACTTTCTATAGTAACATATCGAAATATTGGACGTTGATACATAAAATTATATTTGTATATACCGGGTCCTTATTTGATTTTAAGATAGATCCTAAACGAGACGAGATAGAGGATGAATTTTTCCACATATGCAGATAAAGTGATGAAATTTGACTTAAACAAGTTTTTTATGAATCAAAACATCTATGAAATTTCATAAGTTTCAGTCCATAGTTGACCCTATATCTACTACAGAACTCGCTTTATTGTGAAAACGATGATATTAAGAGAAATTCAATAATATAATAGTTTCCTATTATAAATTTATCATTCTGTCAAAATATGTAGAGTTCGGTCCATAATTGGTACACAAATTTAACTCCATAAAAGGTTCTTTTCCGAAAATCATGCTGTTATTTGTATTAATATCAATATATGACAAGATTTTGATTTTGGCAAAGACGAAAATAACATTATTACTTCCTTAAAATGAACGATTTCTTTCAAAACCCTACCATCATAAAGAAAGTACTTTTGGAGCGCATAAATTTAGTACCATATCAACGAAAATCTCTTTCACAATTAACAACCCCACCACCGTATAGTTATTAGAATATTGTTAGAATCCAATAACAATAATACCAACAAAAAATTCTATAACATTTCGTATTCATTCGAATGTGCTCCGATATATGTAGATATTTTTTTGATTTTTTTCTATAATGTTTTCTATTTTATTTCTATACAAGAAAATACACTAACAAAAAAACAGACTTATACATTGTAAAATTGTATTTTCTTCTTCTACTTTTTAAATTAAAGTATTTTTAACTTATAGTGAGCCAAAAAAAAAAAAAATGATTTAACCACGTGAGCAATTGTTCTCTCTAGTTTAAATATTAGTTTAATTTAATGTACGAAAAATACAACTAAAAAAATCCGAGAGACGAATATAACACAAAATCTGAGAGTTGGTGTGAAAAAAAGAGTAAAAAAATACTAAAGTATCTGTCAATATAGTGGTGGAAGAGCAAAAGCAACTTGCAGATACAATATTTTATATTTTTGGTGTGATTTTGTTTAAGTGTTGCACATGTATGAGTGTAAATTTCAGTATTTTGTATTTCTAGCTGTCAGATACTATACAATCCAACAATAACAATAATAACAACAAATTGTATCTGCTAAAATATATTAATTCTAGAACGTATATGTGAATTTAACAGAAAACAGAAAAAAATATATAAATAAATAAAAACGAA